ACATCCGTCCGTCCTTCCGTCCATCCTTCCGTCCGAATTTCGTTTCCGGAGTAGTTCTCTGCAACTACTGGCTGGAATTCAACGAAACTTTATGGGAATCATCAATATCAAGAGGAGAAGCGCATATCCTCGGCTTGTTCCGGTCCGACCCTTTAACTTAGAGTTATGGCCCTTGATTAGTTATGTAGTATGTATATAGAGTAAAAATTGTTTCCGGAGTAGTTCTCTGCAACTACTGGCTGGAATTCAACGAAACTTTATGGGAATCATCAATATCAAGAGGAGATGCGCATATCGTCGGCTTGTTCCAGTCCGCCCCTTTAACTCAGAGTTATGGCCCTTGATTAGTTATGTAGTATGTATATAAAGTAAAAATCGTTTCCGGAGTAGTTCTCTACAACTAATGGCTGGAATTCAACGAAACTTTATGGGAACCTTCAATACCAAGAGGAGATGCGCGTATCGTCGGCTTGTACCGGTCAGACACTTTAACTCAGAGTTATGGCCCTTGATTAGTTATGCAGTATCCATATAGAAAAATATTTGTTTACTCGCTACTTCTCTGCTTCTACTGGCTAGAACTTTATGGGATACTAAGAGGAGATGTGCATATAGTCGCCTTGTTCCCGGTCAGATACTTATAACTCAGATTTATGGCCCTTGATTAGTTATGTAGTATGCATACATCTCATTGGCATTTCCAGATTTTACTATTTAACACAAAATTATGGCTCTGTTATTGACCTGAATATTTATCAAGTTCAAAGAATATTACTGTTTATGCCATGATTAATATATAAATAAAGCCTTATGTCTTCAGTTGTTGTGTTAATAATAACCAGTACTCGGTGGGGGATATAAATTCAAGGAATTTGCTTGTTAACTAAAGCCCTGGGGGCAAAACTGGCCCCACCCTAGGGGTATCATTGCTTTGAACTATATGTGTATAGTTAAAACTTAAAAAATCATTTTTTTTGCTCGACTTCTTTTTTTTTGAAAAAAAAAGTAGAGGTATTGTTAAAGTCGCGGCGGCGTTGCCGTCCGCAAACTTGTACCTGGATCATAACTTTTTTTTTCTTGGTGTATTGTCTTCATACTTGGCCACAACAACCCTTGGGACAAGACCTTTCAGTACACCACACTAACCTTGACCTTCATCCATAAATGACCTTGACCTTCAAGGTTAAAAGTCCAAATTTTGCTTGTTCATGCTGTTATTGGCTGTAACTTTGTTACTTTTGAATGGATTGTCTTCAAATTTGAACATAATAATCTTCAAGGATATCCCTTAAAAATAACCAGACAGACCTTGACCTTCACTCATAAATAACCTTGACTTTGAAGGTCAAATTATTGCAATTTTCATTTTTTTGGCTATTATTGGCTGTAACTTTGTTATTTTTGAATGGATTGTCTTCAAACTTGAACATAATATTCTTCAAGGATAACCCTTAAAAATAACCAGATAGACCTTGACCTGCACTCATTAATGACCTTGACTTTGAAGTTCAAATTATTGAAATTTTCATTGTTTTGGCTGTAACTGGCTGTAACTTTGCTATTATTGAAGGGATCAACTTCATATTACAACAGAACATACTTAAGGACAAGACCTTGTTGTGACTTTACCACATGACTTCACCACATGACTTCACCACGTGACTCCACCACATGACTCCACCAGGTGACTTTACCACGTGACTCCACCACGTTACACCACCACATGACACCACCATGTGATACCACGTGATTCCACCATGTGACTCCACCACGTGACTCCACCACGTGACTTTACCATGTGACTCCACCACGTGACTTTACCACGTGACTCCACCACGTGACTCTACCAATGACTCTACCACATGACTTTACCACGTGACTCTACCACGTTACTCCACCACGTAACTCCACCACGTGACTCCACCACGTGACTCCACCACGTGACTCCACCATGTGACTCCACCACGTGACTCCACCACGTGGCTTCACAACGTGACACCTCCACGTGACTTTACCACGTGACTTTACCACATGACTTTACCACGTGACTTTACCAAGTTAATTTACACGTGGCTTTACCACATGACTCCATCACGTGACTTTACCACATGACTCCACCACGTCACTCCACAACATGACTACACCACGTGACTCCGCCAAGTGATTCCACCACGTGACTATACCACGTGACTGTACCAGGTGACTTAACCACGTGACTCCACCACGTGACTCACCACGTGACTCCACCATGTGACTCTACCACGTGACTCTACCACGTGACTCCACCACGTGACTATACCACGTGACTCCACCACATGACTTTACCAAGTTAATTTACCACGTTAATTTACCACGTGGCTTTACCATGTGACTCCATCACGTGACTTTACCACATGACTCTACCACATGACTCTACCATGTGACTCCACCAAGTGACTCCACCACATGACTCCACCACGTGACTCTACCACGTGTATCTATTTATAGAATTTTCTATTGATAGAATTGCGTGTTTTTATTTATAGAATTGCATGTTTCTATTTATAGAATTTTCTATTTATAGAATTGCATGTTGCTGTTTATATATATATATATATATATAATTTAGTATATTTATATATACAAAATATATAGACAAAACTTATGTGACAAGACAGACCGATTAATTTTATAAAAAGGAAATGTTAAGATTTTGTTCAAACATTTCTTTGTTTGCTTTTAGAGAACGTAAAAAGTCGAGTGTTGCCCCCGCCTGGCAGTGGCTCTTGTTAAAAAACTCAACGAGCTAGACCTTAGATGTTTAGCATGAAACATCTTGTAATGGGTGTCTACCAAGTTTGTTCAAATAAAAGCCCCGGGGTTTAAACTGGCCACACTTTGGGGGCCTATAAACAGGTGAGCGACTTCAGGGCCATCATGGCCCTCTTGTTTTGAGATTTTCTTGAGACCACTTATTATACCCCAAAAACGAAGTTTGGGGGGGTATATAGGAGTCACCCGGTGGTCGGTTGGTCGGTCGGTCGGTCTGTCCAGAGGTCCGTTGCATTTTCCTTGTCAGGAGCATAACTTGAAGACTAATGGTTGGAATTCAATATAACTACATACAATGGTCAAGCACATTGAGAGGAAGTGCAGTGCACAAGAACCATAACTCTATCTTGACTAATTACAGAGTTATTGCCCTTTGTTACTTTTCCTTGTCCGGGGCATAACTTGAAAACTACTGGTTGGAATTAAAAACAACTTACGAGTTATTGCCCTTTGTTACTTTTCCATTGCTTTTTTTTGTTCGGAGCATAAGGGTTGGAATTCAATATAACTTCATAAAATGGTCAAGCACATTGAGAGGAAGTGCAGTGCACAAGAACCATAACTCCATCTTGACTAATTACAGAGTTATTGCCCTTTGTTACTTTTCCTTGTCCAGAGCATAACTTGAAAACTATTGTTTGGAATTCAATACAACTTCATACAGTTGTCAAGGACATTAAAAGAAAGTGCAGTGCACAAGAGCCATAACTCCATTTTGACAAAATACAGAGTTACTGCCCTTTGATACTTTTCCTTGTCCGGCGCATAACTTAAAACGTACTGGTTGGAATTCAAAACAACTTCATACAATGGTCAAGCACAATAAGAGGAAGTGCAGTGCACAAGAACTATAACTCCATCTTCAGTATTTATAGAGTTATTGCCCTTTGTTCCTTTTCCTTGTCTTTCTGGACTTATTAAAGAGTAATTCAATAAAACTCCATCAATGGCCAACCACATTGAAAGGAAATGCAACATACAAGAACCCCAACTATCTTTTATTGCCCACAATCATAACTCTATATTTCAATTCTTTTACAAGGTATTCTGTTACTAGTAACATCCTCATTTCCAAAGCAGTCTTGTGGGGGTATTAATCACATTTAGTGATAGTTCTAGTTTTTCAAAAAGTCAAGGTTGCTGATGAGGGTACCTTTAGTGATAGAGCTAGTTTTCTTTTAAGCATACTTTAGAATATCAAATTGAGATTTGACATTCTTGCAGCTTAATGCTGGGGAAATCAAGATGTCAGCATTGGAAAAATTGGATGTCACCATATTGCATACATGCCATAACGTCCCGGATGCCCGGGACAGTCCCGGAAATAAGGTGTCTGTCCCGGAGGTGTCCCGGAGATAATTTATGTCCCGGTAAAAAAAAAATGTAAAATAATCTACTTTGAAGCAAGAAATTTTACATTTTAATATAATTTTATTGTCAAGTTTTTATAAACTAGTCTAGAACGCTAATAACGAACGATTACCCCCTAACAGCATTGCAATGGTGACACTAATCCTTTGATTGGTATATCTACGTGCCCCTTCCAACAAACAATTATCGGCAATAATTTTGATCAATTAAAAGATTAATTGTTTACCCCATGTGGCTTCCTGAGCGAAGGTGTCATACATTGTAATTAATAACTGGCCAGTATAAATTTAATCCGCCTGGAGGCAGTTATTAGTGGTCAAACACCGTGAAAATTACCGCTAAATTTGAGGTGATAAAATCTACAAGATTCAGTGAATGTTTCAGGAAAACGACATGGCTAATTGTCATTACTTAACATAGCCTTTGTATTTTGTGACCGATTGAATTAACGATGCCTAAAGACTTAAAAAGATAGAAAAACTATTAATAATTATTGACATTCTTTCTTTTGTTTATGGTGTCATTAAATTTGCAAGTTGTACAGGTAATATAGGTTGAATGCCACTATGTAAATTTAAAAAAAATACGTTTGCTGATTAATGCCCCACCTCCAAATGTGTCCCGGAAATGAGTGTAAAAATTATGGCATGTATGATATTGGGTAGGGGGAGTAAATGATAGAACAGTGGAATGTGAGGGCATCTGTCTCCTATGGACACATTTCTAGTTTCACAAATGTAATTTTGTTATAGAATTGATAGTGCTATAGTATTATATTAATTTAAAAAAAACAACTATATATCTATTTTGTATTTTAGGCAATGGATGATAGATATGATGAAGAAATACTTGGAGATTCTTTACCACAGTGTTCAAACTCTGAAATTCTTGTCTCTGTAAGTTATTTTTCCACAGTGTACAAATTAGAAATTCTTATATATGTAAGCTATTAATAACAGTGTACAAATTAGAAATTCTTGTATCTGTAAGTTATTTTTCCACAGTGTACGAATTAAAAATTAGAAATTCTTATATATGTAAGCTATTTACCACAGTGTTCAAACTCTGAAATTCTTGTCTCTGTAAGTTATTTTTCCACAGTGTACAAATTAGAAATTCTTGTATATGTAAGCTATTTATCACAGTGTACAAATTAAAAATTCTTGCATCTGTAAGTTATTTTTCCACAGTGTACGAATTAGAAATTCTTGTATCTGTAAGTTATTTATCACTGTGTACGAATTAGAAATTCTTGTATCTGTAAGTTATTTTTCCACAGTGTATGAATTAGAAATTCTTGTATCTGTAAGTTATTTATCACAGTGTATGAATTAGAAATTCTTGTATCTGTAAGTTATTTATCACTGTGTACAAATTAGAAATTCTTGTATCTGTAAGTTATTTTACCACTGTGTACGAATTAGAAATTCTTGTATCTGTAAGTTATTTTACCACTGTGTACGAATTAGAAATTCTTGTATCTGTAAGTTATTTTACCACTGTGTACGAAATAGAAATTGTTGTATCTGTAAGTTATTTTACCACTGTGTACGAAATAGAAGCTCTTGTCTCTGTTAAAGTTCTTTACCACTGTGTACAAATTAGAAATTTAACCAAAGTTACCAAATTCCGAAACTCTTGTTTCTGTTAGTGTACAAACTCTAAATTCTTGGCTCTGTTAGTTATTTTTCCTTAGTATACAAACTCTAGAACTCTTCTCTGTAAGTTACTTTACAACAGCGTACAATCTCATCATGTTTTGTTTCACTACTCACATATCATGAACATTCTTAATTTGATATTACAGGTTCTTGAAAAGGGACGATCTAAACCCAAATCTCAAACAAAATATGGAGCTATTTATACATCAGGGAAATACTTTGCATTTCAAATAGAGACTTATGATCCTGAATCTGTGGTAAGATTTTGTTACGTTTTAACTATTATCATTTGAAAAAAAAAAAAATTCTTTTCCCAAGTAGTTATATCAATGACTAAGAATCATTTGTCTATTTTTACTGTGGGAAAATTGAATTTGAGCTCACTTGGTACATAGTGACATTGAGCTTTTTAGGTTTCTTAGCTGTCCATTATCTGTCTGTAGTCAGTCAATCCACAATTCAATCAAATGACATCTCCTCTGAAAACACAAGGTAAAATTTGATTGCATTTGACAGAAATGTTTCTTGCTTAAGGTAGCACTCCACATTTAAGACCTCCCATCAATGCCCTACAATTCTGATTCCAAACTACACAACCTTGAAAAAGAAAACACATTTTGTTTAGAACATATGTCTACAGTGCACTCCAGATACAACGAGATTATCTGGACTTCGCATGATTCCTCTTTACAGCCGGGTCTTGTTATAACGGGGACAGATCAAATTGAGCAATCAGCATCATTTACTTCTACTTTCGCTTTCTTGTACATCCTTTTTGAAGAGTACATAATAGGAGGTAACTCTTTGCACTCAGAAGTTTTTGTTTTATTTAAATAAATATGTATATAAATATATCTAGCTATCATAGAATTTAAACAAAACATATAAAAACACATACTACATCCAACCCGAGTGCTTTTATTTATATGTTCATTTTTATGCCACCACAGCATCTGTGATGCGGTGGCATATAGCGATTCACCTGTGTGTGTGTGTTTGTGTGTGTGTGTGTGTTCTATAGATTATATAGTGAACTTAAAAAATCTTCTTGTGAAAAACCACTATTCCAATTTCAACCAAACTTGGCAGGATTGATCCTTGGGTGAAGGGCTTCCAAAATTGTTTAAAGAATTTCATTCCATGCAGAAATCTGGTTGCCATGACTTCTACCAAGATGGTTCAAATTATAGCCCTTGGGTCAAAATTTGCCCCGCCCCGGGGGTCATTAATTTTCACTGTATGTACATATAGTAAAAACTTAAAATACCTTCTTGTCTGAAGGTTCAAGGCTTAGAGGTTTGATATTTGGTATGTGATATCAGCTATAGGTATTTGTTCAAATTTTGCCTCTAGTGTCAATATCAGCCCCACCCTGAGGGTCATAGGTTTTCCTTATATGTATATAGTAAAAACTTTAAAAAAAATTCTTCTCGCAATTGACAAATGCTAGAGGTTAGATATTTTGCATGAAACATTGTGTAGTGAACCTCTAGGAAGAGTGTTGAAATTATAGCCCTGGGGTCAAAATTGGCCCCGCCCCAGGGGTCATTGATTTTCACTATGTACAAATAGTAAAAAATAAAAAAATCTGATTGTCTGAAGGTACAAGGCTTAGAGCTTTAATATTTGTTATATGATATCATCTATAGACCCTTTCATTTAAGCGATAACAGTCAGTGAAGAGTTACTTCCCTTACCGGATGTGACGTAAATGGGGGATAAAACTATGCATGTCGCATAGAAAATTAGCTTATTGAAAAGTTAAATGTGTAAATACTGATCGTTCAATTATGATAATAACATGTAAAAATTTACGCATGCATACATAAATTCAATATCAAGACAATAGGAAAAAAAATACAAAAGCAAAGATTGAGATTAATTCTCGCTAGATCTACCACGGATTTATAAATTCGTGTCACTACGGAGTGAAACAGCGAAATTTCAAAGTGAATATATTTATTAGATGTAGATTTTCTCAAATGCCAGTATAAAAAGCTAGTAACTAAATCAAATTTTAATATTTTATAAACGCCCATACACACCGAAATTGCCTATTATAAATTTAAATGGCCATTTTCTAGTTTTCTGTTTTATTTTCTGTCATTCAGAAAATTCCAGTGTATTTGTGACAAACCTGAAAATAAGATTGCCAATGGCTTTTAATGATTGTTTTTCAAGCTTTTATAGAACAATAACAGAATGCATTATGTCAATTCTTACTGATTCTTTTTCATTATGGGGTATAAAAAATATTTCATACAACTTGTTTTTGTTGTTTGTTTTTTTTTTGTGATTTTTTAAATATTTGATAAGCAGAGTATGAATTAAAAAGTATCAAGTTGAAAATATTACTTTACCAGCTTAAATATATTGGTGTGATGTAAGATTTTTTGAGAGTGCATTTTTTGCCGACACAAATAGTATACATTCATGTACATTCAAAAGAATTATTTTTACTTTTATGCCTTTACATTTTTTTTTTAAATTACAAAAATTTATATTGTTTTCTTTTCTTTGTCTTAGTAATGCTTAAATCAAAATGATTTTAATAAACCAGTATCTTGCAATTAATTATTACGCAGCCGTTTTTCGAAACTACAGAATCCTTACATTTTTGAAACTCTAAATATCTTTTGGGTATTTCAATAATTAGCAGAGACATTATGATACATTATCTATATCTCTGGTATTAGCAAGTTAGTACGATTTAACTGCCTGGTAAAATTTTCATTATTAAGAATCTAACGAAAATGTAATCATGATCAGTTACCCAGGAATATGGTCTACTATTAAAACAAATCGTTAACCATATTATATAGTAAACATATTTATTCATTTCACCATCCTTTTTATGTAATATATTATTCAATTACACAAAATTTTGGCAATTTCAATCTGCCAATCTTAAAAGAGAAAGGGTTAAGATCTTTATATCCCTCTATTATTGTACTTAAACGTATTGGCATTGTCCACCAATTCCCCCAATGATGTCATCCAAGGGCGACAACTTGAATACGGTCTTAAATGAAAGGGTCTATAGGTACTCTACCAAATTTATTCAAATTTTGCCTCTAGTGTCAAAATTAGCCCTGCCCACGGGGGTCATAGGTTTTCCTTATATGTATATAGTAAAAACTTAAAAAATTGTCTTCTCTAAATTGACAAAGGCTAGAGTTTAGATATTTGCATGAAACATTGTGTAGTGAACCTCTAGCAAGATAGTACAAATTATAGCCTTGGGGTCAAAATTGGCCCTTCCCCGGGGGTCATTGATTTTCTCTATATGTACATATAGTAAAAAATTAAAATACCTTCTTGTCTGAAGGTACAAGGCTTAGAACTTTGATATTTGGTATATGATATCATCTATGGGTCCTCTACTTAAGTTGTTTTAATTATGCCCCTAGTGTTAAAATTGCCCTGCCCCAGAGGCGATAGTTTTCCTTATATGTATAAAGTAAAAACTTCTTAAAATCTTCTTCTCTGAATTGACAAAGGCTAGAGGTTAAATATTTGGCATGAGACTTTGCGAAGTGAACCTCTACCAAGATGGTTCAAATTATAGCCCTGGGGTCGAAATTGGCCCCGCCCCAGGGGTCTTTGATTTTCACTGTGTACATATAGTAAAAAATTAAAAAGTCTTCTTGTCTGAAGGGAGAAGGCAAAGAGCTTTGATGTTTGCTATATAATATCATCTATAGGTCCTCTACCAAAGTTGTTCAAATTTCTGCCCTGGTGTCAAAAATTGACCCTGCCCGGGGGCATTGATTCTCATTATGTACACATAGTAAATCAGAAACTTAAACAAATGTTTTCTGAATTGGAGAAAGCTACAGCTTAGATATTTGACATGAAATAATGTTTGGTGGACCTGTATCAAGATTGTTTTAATTAAACCCTTGGTTCAAAATTTTGCCTTGCCCCAAGGGACAATGACATACTTTCTTGTTCTTTGATGTACAGCAATGAAATTTTGACCATGTGCACAGTTATACTTGTAAAATTGAACTTTGATATCAAGTGACCTAGATTTTTGATGATGTGACCTACTTTCTTGTCCTTTGATGTACAGCTGTGAAATTTGAGCCATGTGCACAGATTAAAATGTAAAGTGAATTAGCTGACCTAGATTTTGACAAATTGTCTTACTGTGTTGTCCTTTGATGTACATACTCATGAAATTTAGGCTGTGTGAAATATGACCTTCACCACCAAATATCCGCCTCCGAGATCGAGGGGTTAGAGTTGATGACTTCTAATCCAGTTACCTCTCTGGCGTGGGTTCGATCCCCGGGAGATGCTTTGGTAGTTTAGCACGGAGGAAGGTAGTCTAGTACTGGTGTAACTTTCCAGGAACAATGGTTAAGTAACTACGTGCCTATATGACTGAAATACTGTTGGGAAAAGGCGTAAAATGAAAAAATCAAAACAAACAATCACCACCAATTTCACTAGACTCAACTGCATTGATATATTCTTCTCTGATCTTTTATTTGAATAACAATAGATTTAACTACTAATCTGATAATAAGAATTAGATAGGTCAGGTATCTACATTATGACAATCTTCAATTGTATAGATACAAAAAAAAAAATCTGTTTCTACATTACTATTTAGTGTTGTATTAATGCGGTGGCATAGCATTTTTCACAAACGCAATCTTGTTTTCAAAAGTCACGCAGTGTATTTCTCAAGAACACCGAATATCTCTGTCATACCCTCTCTGAATCTTTTATGTCAGTCGAAAACTAGTGTGTGGCTTACTGAGGCTTTTCCCTTGATATCCAATATCCTTTTGTAAGTTTTAGATGGTGTTGAGCCTTCCTCTTGACAAAATTTTATTATTGCTTGTATTTCAATGCCATTTTGAACAAAGATCTTATTGCCACAAGCGATATAAAATTGTGACTGCAACGGCAAATGTTGTTTAAAGTGGCATTATGCTCATATTTTCATAGTCAATTTGAGCTGAACTGACCATATATTTCAAAAGATTGACTGTTTAAAATGGTGATTGACCAACAGTTCATTTTGGAAAAATGTTTAGGATAAAATTTAAATCTGCCTAAAATATAAAAAAGACTTCCCCACTCTTTTTATGAAATGAAGGTTACAGGTAAATTCTAGTGGATATTTAAGAAAATTTTGTTTGAATCCATGCGTTGTTTATTGTTAATATGAATTAAATTTGTATATTAAAAAGAATTATGGTAAATGAAAACTTATTTGACATTCACTTGTTCACTCATTTAT